TGGGAGGATTTACAGTCACAGACCTTATCTGGCTTGGGAGGATTTACAGTCACAGACCTTATCTCGCTTGGAGCGCTTCCAGGTCGATATCTGCGTACCTTGGCCAGGAGTCTCGGAGAGTCACGAACCGATTAAGCGAACTAATGGTCTCCTGCAAACTCCCCTTCGCTCCTCTTTTCCAAAGCCCCAAACGGCAACACAAGAAACAAGAAATGGAAACTAATCCAGGAGAGAAGCAAGCTGGAATTGAGGAGAAATTTCCTGACAGTGAGAATGATTAACCAGTGGGACTGCTTGCCACCAGAAGTTGTAAATGCTCCAACATTGGAAGTTTTTCAGAAGAGACTGAGCAACCATTTGTCTGAAGTGGTGTAGGGTTTCCTGTCTAAGCAGGGGGTTGGACTAGAAGACCTCCAAGTCCCTTCCAACTCTGTTGTTTTAAGTTCTAAATTCTAAGATATTATTCCAGGGTGGTTTTGCTGTAAGAGCAGTGTAGCTCTCTCTCTCTCTCTCTCTCTCTCTCTGCCTCGTTTCAAATATTACTTTTTAATTATTATTTTTTTTAGCAGAATTCTAGCTTGTGGGTAGAACAACTTTTGCATAAGATGTTGCTAGCTTTATCCCTTGAGTAAATCGCCAGCTTGCCTTGGGTGGGACCACATTCCTTTACCCAGCTGTTCTCTGGAAAGGTGGGGCTCTGGTTCCCATCATCCACAGCCTCCGGGCAGGCTGGAGGTCAACATGTTCTGTGTGGTAGAGGGGATTATGCCAATAACTAACTTGCATCCAGAATTCCTTTTTAAATGGAAAGCCAAGAATTTACACCTGAAAAATGCGTGGGTGTGATAAAGGAGATTTGTTTTTTTGCTTTGCTCTACGAATCCAAGTGTTTTACAGGCAGTCCTTGAGTTGCAACAGTTCATTTAGTGACTGTTTCACGTTACGGCGATGCTGAAAAAATATGACAGTTTTTCATACTTATGACTCTTTTTTTATATTGAAAATTTTTAAAAGCTTTTACAAATATTTAGCTCCCCTCCCCCCCCGACTTCCCAAAGCAAATACAGGGTGTATATCTTTAACAATCATATTCTAAAAGAAACTTAGCATCATCTTTCATTTGTGCTTTAACTGCTCTATTGTTAAGCAAACTCTAAACAAATTATGTCACTCCTTGCTTTTTCAGTCGTAAGCTATCTGGAATTTCTTAGTCCCGTATTTATTTTGAATATAATCAATCCAT